ATAAATGAAACCATATGGTGTGTACTTTTTAGGGGGTGGGGCTCTGACTTTTTCAGTAAACATAACTATTTTAAGGTTAATCCATTATCTTGTTGCATGAATCAATTGTTTACTCATTTGTATTGCTGAGTAGTATTCCATTGTATACCACAAGTTTTCTTTTTTGTCAACTTAATTGTTATGGATGTTTGGGTAACTTTCAGATTTTGGCTACTACAAATAAACCTCTGAAGATTCGTGTGCAAGTTATGGCTGAATGATATTCCGTTCTATAAATATACCTCAGTTTCTTTATCCATTTACTTATTGAAGGACAGTTGCTTTCAAGTTTTGGCAGTTATGAATAAACCTACTACAGGCCGGGCGCGGTGGCTCAAGCCTGTAATTCCAGCACTTTGGGAGGCCGAGACGGGCGGATCACAAGGTCAGGAGATCGAGACCATCCTGGCTAACACGGCGAAACCCCGTCTCTACTAAAAACACAAAAAATTAGCCGGGCGAGGTGGCGGCGCCTGTGGTCCCAGCTACTCGGGAGGCTGAGGCAGGAGAATGGCGGGAACCCGGGAGGCGGAGCTTGCAGTGAGCTGAGATCTGGCCACTGCACTCCAGCCTGGGCGACAGAGCGAGACTCTGTCTCAAAAAAAAAAAAAAAAAAAAAAAACCTACTACATATTTGTATAGTTTTTCTGTAGACATGTTTTCAACTCATTTGGATACATGCCAAGGAGTGCAATTTTCTCTGTCATATAGTATGTTTAGTCTTGTAAGAAACTGCCAGGCTGTCCTCCAAAGTAGCTCTACCATTTTTATTTTATTATTATTTTTGAGACAGTCTCGCTCTGTTGCCCAGGCTGGAGTGCAGTGGCATGATCTCGGCTCACTGCAACCTCCACCTATTTTAGTTGGCCAGGCTGGTCTCAAACTCCTGACCTCAAGTGATCACCCTCCTTGGCCTCCCAAAGTGCTGGGATAACGGGGGTGAGCCACTGCGACGGGCTGTGGCTGTACCATTTTTGCATCCAATTAACAATGAATGAACATTCCTTTTGCATCTCATCCTAGTCAGCATTTGGCGTTTTCAGTATTTTGGATTTTAAAATGCCATTCAAATAGGTTTGTAGTGGTATGCCATTGTTGCTTTAATTTGCAATTCCCTAATAACACACAATGAATATCTTCTTTTTTAAGGCAGGGTTTCTTTTTTAAAGGCAGGGTTGTTTTGTTTTGTTTTGTTTCGTTTTGTTTTGAAATGTGCTGGGATTACAGGCGTGAGTCACTGTGCCCAGCCTGACTGCGGTTTTTTTTAATATGAGTTTCACACATCTGAGTAAGTGGCTTGCAGACAGAGAAGTTAACAACTTTGGCTGTCAGTTTGTACCTGTGATTTGTGAATACCAAAAAGATAAATACAGAATCTAAGAAAACACATAACAGTCCTGTATACACACAGCAGCTGGCAGCCCTATTCCCAGTGTGTCCCATGTACCTACCATTGACCTGAAACCCAGTTCATACATGCTAATTGAACATTTTGTAGAGCAGTAAATACACACCATCACACAGCTTCCCTATTCATTTTTATTTTTATTTTTTGAGATGGAGTCTCGCACTGTCACCCAGGCTGGAGTGCAGTGGCGCTATCTTTGCTCACTGCAACTTCCGCCTCCTGGGTTCAAGCGATTCTCCTGCCTCAGCCTCCTGAGTAGCTGGGATTACAGGCACCCACCACCGCGCCTGGCTAATTTTTGTATTTTTAGTACAGACAGGGTTTCACTATGTTGGCCAGGCCGGTCTTGAACTCCTGACCTCTTGATCTGCCCACCTCGGCCTCCCAAAGTGCTGGGATTACAGGCGTGAGCCACCGTACTCGGCCTTCATTTTTATTTTTTGACAAGTCTTTCCATTTATTATCTTTACTTATCCCTCCAAACAGTTAATAAGCAATGTTTTCAGTAGGAAAAAAGAATTATGGATAGGAGACAGAAGCATAATGTGTCCAAGGTTCCAGCACAGCCAGTCTCAACTTCATTCTTTGACTTCTCAGACTTTTGCTCAAACTTCACTATAAGCTTGCTTTTTTCCCCTTCACATGTCGCAGATTTCTGTAGGACTATTTCTGCCACTTTTTTTGAATAGCAATATAATCACTGTTAGTCCAAACTGCGCCGTCCTGTAAGCCCTCTGCCATTTCACAGACCTCGGTCAGAGTGAAGCACTCCACGGAGTGAGGGCCTTGAGAAACATCCTGACCAACTGCCTGACTTTCTTGTCACATCCTGCTGGGAAAAGGTCCAAGGGAGGTCACTATCACTCCCCGCTGGAAAAAAGGCCAAACTGCCTCAGGAACATCTTTTGAACATCCTTCAGCCAGGCGCAGTGGCTCCTGCCTGTAATCCCAGCAATTTTGCAGGCCGCGGCGGGCGGATGGCCTGACCAACATGGTGTAACCCTATCTCTACTAAAAATACAAAAAAATTAGCCCGGCGTGGTGGCACGCACCTCTAAAGCCAGCTACTCAGGAGGCTGAAGCAGAAGAGTCGCTTGAACTACGGGAGGCGGAGGTTGCAGTGGGTCGAGATCATGCCATTGCACTCAAGCCTGGGTGAAAAGAGCGAGACTCCTCAAAAAACAAACAAACAGCCGGGCGCGGTGGCTCAAGCCTGTAATCCCAGCACTTTGGGAGGCCGAGACGGGTGGATCACGAGGTCAGGAGATCGAGACCATCCTGGCTAACACGGTGAAACCCCGTCTCTACTAAAAAATACAAAAAAACTAGCCGGGCGAAGTGGCGGGCGCCTGTGGTCCCAGCTACTCGGGAGGCTGAGGCAGGAGAATGGCGTAAACCCGGGAGGTGGAGCTTGCAGTGAGCTGAGATCCGGCCACTGCACTCCAGCCTGGGCGACAGAGCCAGACTCAGTCTCAAAAAAACAAACAAACAAACAAACAAACAAACAAACAAACAAACAAAAACCCCACCATCCTCCTGGGCAGCAAGCCATACCCTCCCACCACCCCCACCCCACCTCACCCCACCCCTTACCCCTCTCACCCAGACCTATAATTGCCCCAGCCTGAAAGCGGTGGTGGGTTCTGGCAGTAAGCTAGTTCTCTCCATTGCAGGTCTTGTGCTGGTCATAAAACCTGCATTGCTGTAGAGCTGCCAACTCTCTGCCTTTCTTTAACCCTCGCCTTCCCTTCAAAACCTAACAATCATTATTAATAGATTTCTGTAATTTTCTTTTTTCTTGTTTCCTTTTTTTTTTATTTAGACGGAGTCTCGCTCTGTCGCCCAGGCTGGAGTGCAGTGGCAGGATCTCAGCTCACTGCAAGCTCCGCCTCCTGGGTTTACGCCATTCTCCTGCCTCAGCCTCCCGAGTAGCTGGGACTACAGACGCCCGCCACCTCACCCAGCTAGTTTTTTGTATTTTTTTAGTAGAGACGGGGTTTCCCCGTGTTAGCCAGGATGGTCTCGATCCCCTGACCTTGTGATCCACCCGTCTCGGCCTCCCAAAGTGCTGGGATTACAGGCTTGAGCCACCGCGCCCGGCCTGTAATTTTCATTTCACAAGTATTTTCACAATTTCAACTCCCTGTAAAACGATAACTCACTTCTCAGGAAGGAGATAATCTTAGCCGGGCGTGGTGGAGGGCGCCTGTAATCCCAGCTACTCGGGAGGCTGAGGCAGGAGAATTGCTTGAACCCGGGAGGTGGAGGTTGCAGTGAGCCAAGATCGCGCCACTGCACTCCAGCCTGGGCGACAGAGTGAGACTCTGTGTTTTTATTGGGGATAATACGTGCCCTATGTACATACGCTCCAACTGTGGAATGGCACAAAATGTCCTCTCAGGAAATGGCATGTATCAGTCGCTCTCATTTTCAGATAGGATTGAGACTTTTAAAATAAATGTAAAATATTTCAGACATGAAGTAATAAGTATTAATTTTTTTCTTTTTTTTTTTTTTTTTTTTTTTGAGACCGAGTCTCGCTCTCTCGCCCAGGCTGGAGTCCAGTGGCGCAATCTCGGCTCACTGCAACCTCCGCCTCCCGGGTTCACGCCATTCTCCTCCCTCAGCCTCCTGAGTAGCTGGGACTACAGGCGCCCGCTACCACGCCCGGCTAACTTTTTTGCATTTTTAGTAGAGTCGGGGTTTCACTGTGTTAGCCAGGATGGTCTCGACCTCCTGACCTCGTGATCCACCCGCCTCGGCCTCCCAAAGAGCTGGGATTCCAGGCGTGAACCACCGCGCCCGGCCTGTAATAAGTATTATTAGAATAAAAGCATCGTACTCTTGGTAGGAACGCAATCACTGACTGTACAGACAGTAATGATGTTTTCTTTTGGATCCAGAGGCACAGCTTCACCCTTTCAATCTACGTCGGTATCTCCTGTCATCTTTTGTACAAATTCCCAACCATGTAGTCTTTCTTCGTTCTCTTGGACCAAGCATATTGAAGCTTAATAAACAGAAGTCAAAGCTTAACTGTATGTGTATTTGAAAAGCAACATATGGCTGAGAGGCATGAGTAGAAACAGAGTGCCTTTATGGTATGGGGTGTCCCTTTGGGGGGTGTAGCCACTGGGAACTTGCTGTGCTTCACAATCCGATATCATAGGTCCCTCACATTTCTGTGAGTATCCTAGACCTTACTTCAAGAAAATCTGGTTATGTCGCCTTTAAGAGCAACCCAAGCCCCGTCCTGTCTTTGGAGTCCGGCACTGCGTTTACCAGCTCCCGTGACGGTGCCACCGAGCCTCTACCCGCCATATAAAGCCTGACCAACGCTCTAAGGCAAGTCCAGAAGCGGGGTCGAAACTTCATAACCCAGAAGACACTGCGGTTCTCGGAGGCGCAACTGACCCAATGAAGGTACAGGAAGGAATGTTTGCGTGCGTGCGTGCGCATCGTCGGAGGGCGGGACTTCCGGCGTCCTCCGCGGTAGTTGATTTGGTTCTCTCTAGTGTTTTCACTAGCTCCGGCCTTTGGCGCTCTATGACGTCACCGAAGCGACGGAGCGGAAAAGCGCGAGAAGCGGCTGGGTTCCCTCCGCGCAGAGGCGGTAGTGACACAGGCACAACTGACGGTGGCAGAGGCTCAGCTGATAAGGACTGGGGACGGCGGTGTCCTTGTCTTGCCTTTGTCGCTCCCGCCCCTCTCTTCCCTGGCTGGGCTGGCGGAGTCCGCGCCGAAGAACCTAAGGTGGGTGCCCCATCCCAGGCCCAACTCCGCTCGACTCCTCCTTCCAGTGCTGAAGCCCACAGAAGGGGCCCTGCCGGTCAGGCCCCTTGTCCCGAAGAGGGTGGCGTTCCTATGTGGGGTCCCCGTATCAGCTGGTTTGATGCAGCCCCAGAGCTCCCCTTCGGGAACCTCAGGTTCAGGGCATGGAGGCGCTGCCGAGTGGGCCGCCTCGGGGAGCCCGGAGTGTGTGTTGTTTCTGCGGGAAAGAGGGTTTTGTGAATTCTCTCTTGGAATGGCAACCTGAGCAGCCAGTAACCATGGAAGGTTGTCAGGGGAGGACCAGTCGGAGGGGCAGGTACAGAGTTAGAACGAGCAGGGTGGGGAATTGACACAGAGAGACCGAGAAGAGGCCACTGCAGTGGATCCCAGAGACTGCACCAGAGCCATGGTAGAAGAAGGGAGATGTGATGGGATTCTGGATAGACCTGGAAGATAGAGCCAACAGGTTTCCCTGCTGTATCAGATGTGTCTGTGAGCAAAAATAGGGAGTGAGGGGCCATTTTTTTTTTTTTTTCTATTTTGCCTGAACATCTGAAAGAATGAAGTTGGGGAAATCAGCAGCATGAGGAGTAGGTTTCATGGAGAAGATCATGGGTTGCAGTTTGGCCAGTGTCATTCTCAGGCGTCTCAAGTGGAAAATGTCACATGGGTAGGGGGACAGAAAAGTCTGGAGTCTACAGAAGAGAGCTGGTGTAGTTTCTTCAAAAGAATAGAGGGTGGCCGGGCGCGGTGTCTCCCGCTGGTAATCCCAGCACTTTGGGAGGCTGAGGCGGGCGGATCACGAGGTCAGGCGTTCAAGACCAGCCTGACCAACATGGTGAAACCCCATCTCTACTAAAAACACAAAAACTAGCCAGGCGTGGTGGCATGCGCCTGTCATCCCAGCTACTCGGGAGGTTGAGGCAGGAGAATTGCTTGAACCCGGGAGGTGGAGGTTGCAGTGAGCCAAGATCGCGCCACTGCACTCCAGCCTGGGCGACAGAGCAAGACTCTGTGTCAAAAAAGGTGCAGAGCACGGGTCTCTTCCGCGGAAACTGACATTGCGTTTCCGTTGTCGGCCTCCCGCTGCAGGAGCCATATATTGAAGACCATGTCTGGAAGCTTCTACTTTGTAATTGTTGGTCACCATGATAATCCAGTTTTTGAAATGGAGTTTTTGCCAGCTGGGAAGGCAGAATCCAAAGACGACCATCGTCATCTGAACCAGTTCATAGCTCATGCTGCTCTCGACCTCGTAGATGAGAACATGTGGCTGTCGAACAACATGTACTTGAAAACTGTGGACAAGTTCAACGAGTGGTTTGTGTCAGCATTTGTCACCGCGGGGCATATGAGGTTTATTATGCTTCATGACATAAGACAAGAAGATGGAATAAAGAACTTCTTTACTGATGTTTATGATTTATATATAAAGTTTTCAATGAATCCATTTTATGAACCCAATTCTCCTATTCGATCAAGTGCATTTGACAGAAAAGTTCAGTTTCTTGGGAAGAAACACCTTTTAAGCTGAATGCAGAAAATTCCAAAATAAATGATACCACCAGAGTGGTGTATACTCAGGAATGTGTACATTGTAAGTTACTTGATTAAATAGCTTGGAAAACTTTTGTGTATTCTCAACTTATCTAAACTTAATGAAATTCCTTTTATATTTAAAAATAGTACATTCTGTCTCATGTCACATATCAGTAGATCAATTGGTATTCCCTTGTGAACAGTGTTATTTATAAAGAGCTCGTTATCAATAATAATGACTTTTTTTCTTTTTCTTTTCTTTTCTTTTTTTTTTTTTTTTTTTTTTGAGAAGGAGTTTCGCTCTTGTTGCCCGGGCTGGAGTGCAGTGGCACGATCTCAGCTCACTGCACCCTCCACCTCCTGGGTTCAAGCAATTCTTCTGCCTCAGCCTCCTGAGTAGCTGAGATTATGGGCTCCTGCCACCATGCCTGGCTAATTTTTTTTTATACTTTTAGTAGAGACAGGGTTTCACCATGTTGGTCAGGCTGGTCTTGAACTCCTGACCTCGTGATCTCCTGCCTTGGCCTCCCAAAGTGCTGGGATTACTCGCGCCTGGCCATGAAATATTTTTACTTAAAAATTGGGAATAAGCTTTTCTTTCCTTTTTTTTTTTTTTTTTTAGATAGTCTTGCTCCTGTCATGCAGGCTGGAGTGCAGTGGCACGATCTTGGCTCACTGCAGCCTCTGCCTCCCGGGTTCAAGCAATTCTCCTTCTTCCCAAGTAGCTGGCATTACAGCCGTATGCCTGGCTAATTTTTGTATTCTTAGTAAAGACGGGGTTTCACCATTTTGGCCGGGCTGGTCTTGAACTCCTGAACTCAGGTTATCTGCCCACCTCAGTCTTCCAGAGTGCTGGGATTACAGGCGTGAGCCACTGTTCCTGGCTGGGAATAAGCTTTTGACTTTCCCGATTCAGATAGGTTGATCTTTTGTTTTTTTCTGAGATGGAGTTTCGCTCTGTTGTCCAGGCTGGAGTGCAATGGCACTTGGCTCACTACAACCTCCGCTTCTAACTTCAAGTGATTCTCCTGCCTCAGCCTCCCAAAGTGCTGGGATTACAGGTGTGAGCCACCATACCCAGCCCAGATAGGTTGATCTTAATGTAACAATCCAAAACAAATGTCATAGTCAAGATTTGGTAGCTAGATTTAAAACTAAAATATTCTGCAGTTGTGAGTGAAATGTGTTAGCACATATGTGGACGTTATGCATTTAGAAATGTTATACAAATGTATAGGCAGTATACACAGCACTACTCAAGAAGCCAAAGAAACACTTGTGCAGTGCTATGTGTCACATGTTTGCTTCTGCCAGAGGGTAGGAATAGTGATCCTGCTATAATGTGAGAACCTGAATCATGTTTGTAACATAGGAGGCTGGGAGCAGTTCCAGGCCACAGTGAAGTGTGTTGCTTCTGTCACTTTATATTCTTTTATTTCCTTTCCCTCAGACAGTAAACTGTTGATACCCGTACTTGTAAAAGTTGTAAGGCAATTTTTAGGATTGTTGTCAAAGAAAAGCTTGGATTACATTAACATTTGTGTACTCAGTCTTTTAGGCAATACATCAGAGGGGGCTGGGAATTGTGTCTGTGTTCCTATGATAAGTAGATCTTACTGTAAAATGGTAAATGTCCATTGAAAAGCAAGTAATACAACCTGTGCTAATTGGGAGCACTTGAACACTTTTGTTCCATTCTGAATAACTTTTGAGCAAGTAATTCTAAGCTTTGTCTTGTATCCTTGTGTAAAATTGCTACCATCATTTTCACCCTATTTGATTTCTTAAATAAAGATGTTTGTTCAAGAAAAAAAAAAAAGAATAGAGGGTGTAGATTGAACTGGGTCCTGAGGATCCAATTTGGTAGGGAGGTCTGAAGATCATTGCCTGTGAGCTATGTGGTGAGGGAGGAGAGAGCTGATACTTGGGGTTCAGACCATAGGTGGAGCCATAAGCTGGACACTTACTTTAGAAAGGCACAGACCTGCCATAGGAAGGATTTTGTCCTCTGCCTAGAAAAAGGGAGGCATGGGCCGGGCGCGGTGGCTCAAGCCTGTAATCCCAGCACTTTGGGAGTCCGAGATGGGCGGATCATGAGGTCAGGAGATTGAGACCATCCTGGCTAACACGGTGAAACCCCGTCTCTACTAAAAAATACAAAAAAAAAAAAACTAGCCGGGCGAAGTGGCGGGTGCCTGTAGTCCCAGCTACTCGGGAGGCTGAGGCAGGAGAATGGCGTGAACCCGAGAGGAGGAGCTTGCAGTCTTGCAGTGAGCTGAGATCCGGCCACTGCACTCCAGCCTGGGTGACAGAGCAAGACTCCGTCTCAAAAAAAAAAAAAAAAAAAGAAAAAGGGAGGCATGGATGGAATAAGGAATGGGCTTGGGATGGAGACTAAAGTTTCAGATGGTTTATATTCTGCACCTATAGGCTTGACTGACCCTCAGGGCCACTCTTTGTAGGAAAAGAAAAAAGTTATCCAGGCTAGTAGAGCAGCTGGGTTCTAAACTAGAGCACTGCGTTTTCCCCTTCTCCACATATCAAGGCAAGATTGGATGATCTGCCCCAGTCAAGGTCTCCCAGCAAGCTCCCCTCAGAGCCTTATATAACAGGCAGGCCTGGTTGCAGAGTGGACCAGTAGCTGACCGACCTGCTCAGCCCCTCCCTACAACTCATTAAGAATGTATGAGGCCGGGCGCGGTGGCTCAAGCCTGTAATCCCAGCACTTTGGGAGGCCGAGGCGGGTGGATCATGAGGTCAGGTGATAGAGACCATCCTGGCTAACACAGTGAAACCCCATCTCTATTAAAAATACAAAAAAAATTAGCCAGGCGTGGTGGTGGGTACCTGTAGTCCCAGCTACTCAGGAGGCTGAGGTGGGAGAATGGCGTGAACCTGGGAGGCGGAGCTTGCAGTGAGCTGAGATTGCACCACTGCACTCCAGCCTGGGTGACAGAGCGAGACTCCGTCTCTCAAAAAAAAAAAAAAGAAAAAAGTATGAAACACTTATTGGTATAAACACTAGCCAGTGTCCTTCTAAATGTGTACACATAGGTAGGCAGTTAGAAGTGAAGCTATTCGTTGATTTAAATTCCTGCAAATACTACATAGTTGATTTGACCCAAATTTGCCTATAATTATCAACATACCATGGAAAATTTTAGTATCATATCCTCTAAAATTTTAAAAGCTAAAACATACATCTCAGTTTTTGAAATTCTACTACATCATTTACACTGAAAACATATAGTAAACCATTAGTCCAAGAACAATGATAGCTGATACATATGATGAGCTACCAGTGTTTGACACCGGTAAGAGTCCTCTGGGGTGGGAGCCATTCTTACAACCTATTTACAGATGAGAGCACTGAAGCTCCAGCAGGTTCAGTTCTTTCTAGAGTCACAGTGCTACTAAGAGCCAACGCTGAAGTCTGAGAAGCTGAGTTTATACAATCAACTTGAGATCAGTTTGCTTTAGGGTAAGGAAGAAGAGATGGTGGTCCAACTCTGCCTGTAGGATCTTCCCATGGTTTCCCATTTCTCATGGTTTCCCTCTTCCCTCAGGGCCCCCTGGCGATGGCAGAAATGAACCCAGCACAGGTGAGTAGAGTTTTTTCTACCTTTCACCTACCAGTTATCTCATAGATGGTTTTGGCACCTCCATATAAAGAAAAGTGGTGTCCTGAGACTCTTTCTCTGTCTTTTTCCCTCTCTTATGTCTGAAAAGTGGGTGGTTCCACCAGTTCTAGTACCTTAAATTAGGTCTGGGATTTTTGTTTGATTGTTTGAAGTTTATTGTGATACCTTATCTGGATGGCCCTGGATTATATGGAGTGGTTCTCATTTTTGACAACTGACGTGGTAACATCTGTCAGAGTGTCATGGGCACAAGATTAAGAATGTTTCAATGTTTGGAGGGGAGACTGAACTGGATTTTTAGTTAACTGCAAGTGTCTGTTATATCAGGTAGGAATAGGGAGCAGAGTGGGAGGTGGCTAGAGACACACGAACATCAGGCCTGGAATGACAGCCTAGGTCCTGGGTCTCTAATCTAAGGGAGGTGGTAGATGGGGAAGATTTGAAGCAGAAGAGGGCAGTGATAGGACCCTAGCTTAAGGAACTTTCTTTGGCTTCTGAGGAGGACAGACTGTGGAGATGAGGGTAATGGCAGGGAGATCTGAGAGGATGTTCCTGCAGCAGTCTAGGTGGATGTTGGTGGTAACTTGTCAAGAGTAGTGTTGGCTTCAGGATGTGTTTTGAACTGGAGCTGCCCACATTTTATGATGTAGAGAGTGAGGCAGCTGGGGAGGTAGGATAGAAGGAGAATCAGGAGTGGCCCCATGGTTTTGTTTGGAATTATAGATGCTCCATTAGCTATGACGGGAGAAGTCAGCAGTAGAAGGAATTTTCAGAGTGAGTATGAGGAGTCAGTGTTTGTTCAGGCCACAGATGTCTCAGAGACTCCTGGTGGAAGAGTTCAGGTTGGAGATGTCCACACCACAGTGGCTGTCATATGGACCAGGATGAAGCTGTGGATTCAGTTTAGGTGACAGCATCTCTAGGTTATGGTGGCAGTGCTCTTTGATGATAGAGAATTGGAATGGGGCATGAGACCTGGGTCTCTTACTGGGTACGTGTGTGGTGGGGGGGAGTCACTAGACAAATGAGGGAATGGAGTGTTTGTGGGGATGAGTGTATGTGAGATGGTGGGGTATAGGAGTGAGAAAGGCTTCTGAAGGAGAGTGGACATGATGGGGTTGATGAGGGGGTAATAGGGTGAGGTTGGAGAGTTGCTAAGCATCAGTTGGATTGAGGTGAGGATGGGAGTTGTATTAGTCCATTTTCATATTGCTACAAAGAACTACCTGAGACTGGGTAATTTATGAGGAAAAGAGGTTTAATTGGCTCACAGTTCTTTTTCTGTTGTTTGTTTATTTTTGAGATGTGGCCCAGGCTGGAGAGCAGTGGCATAATCTCAGCTCACTGCAATCTCTGCCTCCCAGGTTCAAGTGATTCTTCTGCCTCAGCCTCCTGAGTAGCTGGGACGACAGACTCACGCCACCATGCCCAGCTAATTTTTGTATTTTTAGTAGAGATGGAGTTTCACCATGTTGGCCAAGATGGTCTTGATCTCCTGACCTCATGATCCACCCTCCTCAGCCTCCCAAAGAGGCAGGACACAGCTGAGAGTATGTGAAGTCCTCACATGGTTGGTTTGGGCTGCTGACAGTGAACTGAGAAACAGGGGCATGTAGGGAACCTTCAAAGCAGGGCTTTGGGCTGCCCCCAGTGCTAGGAGACTTTGGTGTTCTGGGGCAGGACTGGGAGTGAACTGGATGCTGAGCGTATTTGCCGTGCACCACCTGGTTTCCATGTGCAGAGTGGCCTGTTAGGAGGTGAAGGAAATGCTTGTGGTGTGGGCTGAGAGGTGTCTGTGGAATTGATGGGAGTGGAGGTGTGAGAGCTGGGATTGGAATGCTGACCAAAGACTGATGTTTAAGCAGGAGGAGTGTGAATGGAGGCCCCAGGCCCTGCCCCTGGTAGCTCAAGGGAGGAGGATGAGTCTGAGTTTGGTTGTCTTGGGAGGCAAGATCTGGGTGACCCCATGGACTCTGGCTGGCAGGAGAGGATGGATCCCCCATGGGAGGCCCACATTCCTTTTCTACCTTATCTTCCATCTGTTTCCTCTGTGCTGGACACGGTAGCCAATGGAAATACGGAGAGAAAAGTCACTTGTGCCACCTGGATGTTGTTTGTCTGCCACACTGACTGGGAGGGTGTGGAGGAGACTGAGGAAGGAATGGAGGTGTAGGGGAGAGGGATGAGTTCCTGGAGAGAGAAATGTAGCAGTGATTGTACCCACTGGGTTTTTTTTCTCTTTCTTTTTCTCTTTTTTTTTTCTTTCTTTTTTTCCTTTTATTTTTTTTTTTTTAGATGGAGTCTCGCTCTGTTGCCCAGGCTGGAGTGCAGTGGCACGATCTTGGCTCACTGCAACCTGCACCTCCTGGGTTCAAGCAATTCTGCCTTAACCTCCCAAGTAGCTAGGACTACAGGCCTGTGCTGCCATGCCCAGCTAATTTTTGTATTTTTAGTAGAGACGGGATTTCACTGTGTTGGCCAGGCTGGTCTCTAGCTCCTGACCTCAGGTGATCTGCCCGCCTCAGCCTCCCAAAGGTCTGGGATTATAGGCATGATCCACTGTGTCTGGCCCCCATGGAGCTTTCATTTATGGATGTGAGTGAGTGATGCCAGGGACAGGCCAATGACACTGAAAGAAGATATTTATTCCTTACGTTTCCCTAAGGAGGGTGCACACCACATTACACGGGGCCACATGGTGAAGTGCCAGATTTGGTCAGGAGAAAAATTGCCATGAGGAGAGTTTAGTTTAGTCCACAGATGCTCTTGGGATTTCAAAGGGAAACAAGGCAGGGCTGGGTGTCAGGATAGTTTGGCTAGTTTTAGTAATTCCAGGACACCTGGGCTATTGGGACTGTCCCTAGTTGAGCAGTACCTGTCCCTGGGTTGATTTAGAACATGGGAAATAGTGGCTTGTTTGAGAAAGTTAGAGATGGAGGTGGTTCAGAATATGTGCCCAGGATGGTAGGGGAGATGGAAACACATTTGGCTGTTAGTTTGGCCCTGTGTTTAATGGGTGGTAAATATAAGTAGAAAATAAATAGAGAATTTAAGTAAATACAGCTTGAAAAGAAGCTACTCATGTATTCATCTCTCCCAATTTGGCAGGGCCGTGTGGTCTTTGAGGACGTGGCCATATATTTCTCCCAGGAGGAGTGGGGGCACCTTGATGAGGCTCAGAGGTTGCTGTACCGTGATGTGATGCTGGAGAATTTGGCCCTTTTGTCCTCGTTAGGTAAGGCCTTCATACTTGCCCAGTGTCCTGGGTTGGGCTGTGTTGTTTCCTTTTACCTGAAGGTGGCTCTGCGTTTCCCGCAGTGAGACCGTGGGTGCTGCTGCTTTTCTTTGTTTCCTGACATATGTTCTATGAGAGTTAGGACTGGGCTGTGTGCTGTGTGCTCCCTTTTTCCTAGCAGCCCCATCCCCTGCTGCTCCGAGGCTTGCAAGAAAGGGCTCAGGATCCAGAAATGTTGAAGTTGACATAGAGACCCACTGGCCCTGAGTTCTCATCTAATGCATGGGACCTCTGTGCTCTGTTGTTCCCTTGCTCTTGCCAATATTTCTTGGTGCCTTCTTGTTCCTGGAATTTCTGGCACTGACCTGATCACTAATTTGATGAAGCACTGGCTTGATTGTGCAGGATGTAGAAATCTTCTGTGAAGTTCTGGTGATTATAGAATGTGGGATATCATCAAGTGGTCTCTCTGGGTGTGTGCTTGTCTCTTTCTGTGTCTTTCCCCTAGGACTGGTCTCTTTCAGGTCTCACAGACTGTCACCTTAAGCAATGGGGAGGGCCCTGGTACCCAAGAGGGTGGATATTACTCCCTGAAGGGCTGTAGAGACTCAGAGGGACATGATCCTGGTTCCTGGGAGTTGGGAAAAGGTGTAATATCACAGGTTGGGTCATACCACACTAGGAACCTGTCCTGTGACCCCTGTTGTTTAGTTCAAGACCGGTTGCCACAACTCACTCTTCCTTTCCTTCCCGCATTGTCATTTCTACTCTGACTTCTAATCCCTGGCTTCCACCTGTTACCTATTCTCTTCGACTGCTCCCTTTGCAGTGCCCTCCAATGCATGACCTGTACTTGAGGTGAGGTCTGCATGTATTTGTCAGTCGTCCCTGAACGCCATCTCCTCTGTCACAGTCAGATCTCTCTGGGTTTAGACACAGCCTTCTACACACTGCTCACTAGTCACCAGCAGCCATGGCTTGTGGAAGGCCATTTGCAGAGAAGTGATTTGGAGACCCTCCTTCTCCTCTCTGCACTGTACCCCTCTCTTGTGTTCTTACCTATCATCAGGGCTCTCCCATTAGGGGTATTTGCCAGGTCCAACTCTGCACAGCAGGCCTTCTTCTCATTGGCCTTCGTGTTTGTATTACTTCGTTCTCACTCTGCTATTGGGAAATACCCAAGACTGGGTAACTTCTAAAGGAAAGAGGTTAATTGACTCACAGGTCCCCATTGCTGGGGAGGCCTCAGGAAACTTACACTCATGGCGGAAGGCAAAGGAGAAGCAGGCATCTTCTTCACAGGGTGGCAAGACAAATGAATCCAAGCAGGGGAAATGCCAGACACATAAAACCAGCAAATTTCATGAGAATTTACTCAGTTTCGTGAGAACAGCATGGGGGAAACTGTTCCCATGATTGAGTTATGTCCACCTGGTCCCATGCTTGACACATGGGAATTACTGGCATTACAATTCAAGATGAGATTTGGGTGGGGACACAGAGCCTAACCATATTATTCCACCCCAGCCCCTCCCAAATTTTATGTCCCTTTCACATTTCAACACCAATCCTGCCTTCCTAACAGTCCCCCAAAGTCTTAATTCATTCCAGCATTAACCCAAAAGTCCAAGTCCAAAGTCTCATCTGAGACAAGGCAAGTCCCTTCTGCCTATAAGCCTGTAAAGTCAAAAAGCAAGTTAGTTACTTCCAAGATATAATGAGGATACAGGCATTGGATAAATGTACCTATTCCTAATGGAAGAAATTGGCCAAAACAAGGTCTACAGGCCCCATGCAAGTCCAAAACCCAGCGAGGCAATCATTAAATTTTAATGCTCTGATATTATATCCTTTGACTCCCATCTCTCACATCCGGGGCACACTGATGCAGTAGGTGGGCTCCCTCCCACTGTCTTGGGCAACTCTGCCCTTGTGGCTTTGCAGGGTATAGACCCCCTCTCAACTGCTTTCATGGGCTGGCATTGAGTGTCTCCGGCTTTTTCAGGCACACGGTGCAAGCTGTTGGTGGATCTACCATTCTGGGGGCCGGAGGACAGTGGCCCTCTTCTTATAGCTCCATTAGGTAGTGCCCCAGTAGGGAGTCTGTGTGGGGGCTCTGACCCCACATAACCCTTCCTGCAGTGCCCTAGCAGAGGTTCTCCATGAGTTCCACCCCTGCCGCAAACCTCTGCCTGGACATCCGGCATTTCCATACATCCTCTGAAATCTAGGTGGAGGTTCCTTCCCAAATATCAATTCATGACTTCTGTGTACCCACAGGCCCAACACCATGTGCAAGCCACCAAGGCTTGGGGCTTATACCCTCTGAAGCAATGGCTGGAGCTGTACCTTGCCCCTTTTAGCCATGGCTGGAGCTGAAGCAGCTGGAATGCAGGGCACCATGTCCCAAGGCTGCATAGAACAGGGGGACCTAGGGCCAGCAGCTGGGAGGCAGGGCTCCATGTCCTGAGGCTGCACTAAACAGTCTGGGCCAGACCCATGAAACCATTTTTCCCTCCTAGGCCTCTGGGCCTATGATGGGAGGGGCTGCCAGGAAGGTCTCTGACAGGTGTTGGAAACATTTTCCCCATCATCTTGGTGATTAACATTTGGCTCCTCGTTACTTATGCAAATTTCTGCAGCAGCCTTGAATTTCTCCCCAGAAAATGGGTTTTTCTTTTCTATTGCATAGTCAGGCTGCAAAATTTCCAAACTTTTCTGCTTTGCTTCCTCTTGAACACTTTAGCACTAGACATTTGTTCTGCCAGATACCCTAAATCATCTCTCTCAAATTCAAAGTTCCACAGATATCTAGGGCAGGGGCAAGATGCCGCCAGTCTCTTTGCTAAAGGATAGCAAGAGTCACCTTTACTCCAGTTCCGAACAAGTTCTTCATCTCTGTGGAAGACCACCACAGCCTGGACTTCATGGCCCATAGTGCTAAATCAGCATTTTGATCAAAGCCATTCATCAAGTCTCTAGGAAGTTCCAAACTTCCCCACATTTTCCTGTCTTCTTCTGAGCCCTCCAAACTGTTTCAACCTCTGCCTGTTACCCAGTTCCAAAGTCACTTCCACATTTTCAGGTATCCTTACAGCAGTATTTCACTACCTCGGTACCAGGTTACTACATTTGTCCGTTCTCACACTGCTATTAAGAAATACCCTGGCTGGGCGTGGTGGCTCACTCACTCCTGTAATCCCAGCACTTTGGGAGGCTGAGGTAGGTGGATCACCTGAAGTCAGGAGTTTGAGACCAGCCTGGCCAATATGGTGAAACCCCATCTGTACTAAAAATACAAAACTTAGCTGGGTATGGTGGCAGGTGCCTGTAATCCTAGCTACTCGGCAGGCTGAGGCAGGAGAATCACTTGAACCGAGGAAGTGGAGGTTGCAGTGAGCTGAGATCGCGCCACTGCACTCCAGCCTGGGTGACAGAGCAAAATTCTGTCTCAAAAGAAAGAAATATCCAATATTTGGCCAGGGTTGGTGGCTCACGCCTATAATCCCAGCACCTTGGGAGGCTAAGGTGGACGGGTCACTTGAGGTCAGGAGTTTGAGACCAGACTGGCCAACATGGCGAAACCCTGTCTCTACTAAAAATAACAACAACAACAAAAATTAGCCGGGCATGGTGGCTCATACCTGTTATCCCAGCTAGTTGGGAGGCTGAGACAGGAGAATTGCTTGAACCCAGGAAGCGGAGGTTGCGGTGAGCTGAGATCACACCACTGCACTCCAGCCTGGGGGAAAGAATGAGAGTTCATCTCAAAAAAAAAAAAAAAGAAATACCTGAGCTTGGGTAATTTATAAAGGAAAGAGGTTGAATTGACTCACAGTTCTGCATGGTTGGGAGGTCTCAGGAGATTTACCATCATGGTAGAAGGCGAAGGAGAAGCAGGCACCTTCTTCACAGGACGGAAGGATGGAGTGAGTGCAAGCAGGGGAAATGCAAGATGCTTATAAAACCATTAGATCGTGTGGGCGCTGTGGCACACGCCTGTAATCCCAGCACTTTGGGAGGCCAAGGAGGGTGGATCACCTGAGGTCAGCAGTTCGAGACGAGCCTGGCAAACATGGTGAAACCCCGTCTCTACTAAAAATACAATAATTAGCTGGGTGTGGTGGCACACGCCTGTAATCCCAGCTACTGAGGAAGCTGAGGCAGGAGAATCACTGGAATCCAGGAGGTAGAGGTTGCAGTTAGCAGAGATCGTGCCACTGCACTCCAACCTGGGCGGCAGAGCAAGACACAGTCTCAAAATAAATAAATAAATAAAACCCATCAGATCTCAGGAGAACTCACGATCATGAGAACAGCCTGGGGGAACCGTCCCCATGATCCAGTTAGTTTCACCTGGTCCCACCCTTGACACGTGGGGGTTATGGAGATTACAATTCAAGATGAGATCTGGGTGGGGACGCAACGCCTAACCGTATTGTTCCCACACCAAACCGAGGGTGGGGCTGCTTATTCTCGCAGCCCAATAATGAGATGCAGATGAACTGGGAAAATAGAGTTTTTATTTCTGTAACCAATTACAAGGAGAAGGCCTGGAAATTATTGCCAGACCGGCCGGGCGCGGTGGCTCAAGCCTGTAATCCCAGCACTTTGGGAGGCCGAGACGGGCGGATCACGAGGTCAGGAGATCGAGACCATCCTGGCGAACACGGTGAAACCCCGTCTCTACTAAAAAAACACAAAAAACTAGCCGGGCGAGGTGGCGGGCGCCTGTAGTCCCAGCTACACAGGAGGCTGAGGCAGGAGAATGGCGTAAAGCCGGGAGGCGGAGCTTGCAGTGAGCTGAGATCCGGCCACTGCGCTCCAGCCCTGGCGACAGAGCGAGACTCCGTCTCAAAAAAAAAAAAAAAAAATTATTGCCAGACCAACTCAAAAGCACAAAGTTTTCCAGAGCTTATATACCTTCTAAGCTATTTGTCTACATGTAAGTGTGCATTCTTCTAAAGATGTAAGTGATTAACTTCTCTATAACCAAGATCTGAGTCTTGAAGACCTTCCTCTGGAGCCTCAGTAAATTTACTTCATCTAAATGGGTCCAGGTGCTGGAGTGATTACCCTTGTCTCCTTCTAAATCATGGAGGTTTGGGGAGTTTCTTTAGAACCCCAATAAACTTATTCACAGAGGCCTGGGGAGTTTCTTCAGACCTCCAATAAAACATATTTAAAACGTATTTAATCCTAAACGGGTCCTGTTAAGAATTCCTTCATGATCTTGTCGTCCTTCAAGGCCCAGGAAAGGCCTAGGCAAAACTCTTGGTGGACTTTTGTTACACTCCAGCCTGTGCATGAGAACACTGGCACTATCAGCCTTTAATCAACTTAACCAGTCAGTGCTGAAACCGTTGTCATGGAAGCCTGCCTGCTCAGCTGTTAGGGAGACCTGGCCTGCCACAGTACCAGGGTTCATGCCTGTCACCAATTCCATGATCATTTTCATGGGGTGTCTGACTGACATTTGTGATGGGGTTGCCTCCGCTCATCACAGTCAACATGCACCTCACCAGCATTTTTATTCTTACAGGTTGTTGCCATGGAGCTGAGGATGAGGAGGCACCTTTAGAGCCAGGTGTTTCCGTAGGAGTGTCACAGGTCATGGCTCCAAAACCCTGTCTATCTACCCAGAAGACGCAACCGTGTGAGACATGTAGCTCACTTCTGAAGGACATTCTGCATCTGGCTGAGCATGACGGATCACACCCCGAGCGGGGACTGTACACGTGTCCAGCACATCTTCACCAGCACCGAAAGGAGCAGATTAGAGAGAGACTTTCCAGAGGGGATGGAGGAAGACCGACATTTGTGAAGAACCACAGCGTTCACATGGCAGGGAAGACCTTCTTGTGCAGTGAATGTGGGAAAGCCTTTAGCCACAGACATAAACTTGCTGACCATCAGAAAGTCCACATGGGAGAAAGACCTTATAAGTGCAGCAAATGTGGGATATTGTTCATGGAAAGGTCCACACTCAATAGACATCAGAGAACTCACACTGGAGAAAGGTCTTATGAGTGCAATGAATGTGGGAAGGCCTTTCTTTGTAAGTCTCACCTTGTTCGTCACCAGACAATCCACTCTGGAGAAAGGCCTTATGAGTGCAGCGAATGTGGGAAATTGTTTATGTGGAGTTCCACACTCATTACACATCAGAGGGTTCACACTGGAAAGAGGCCTTATGGTTGCAGTGAATGTGGGAAGTTCTTTAAGTGCAACTCAAACCTCTTTAGGCATTACAGAATTCATACAGGAAAAAGGTCTTATGGTTGCAGTGAATGTGGGAAGTTCTTTATGGAGAGGTCTACACTCAGTAGACATCAGAGAGTTCACACTGGAGAAAAGCCTTATGAGTGCAACGAATGTGGGAAATTCTTTAGCTTGAAATCTGTCCTCATTCAGCACCAAAGAGTTCACACTGGAGAACGGCCTTATGAATGCGGTGAATGTGGGAAGGCCTTCCTTACAAAGTCCCACCTCATTTGTCATCAGACAGTTCACGCTGCAGCAAAGCAGTGCAGTGAATGTGGGAAATTCTTTAGGTATAACTCCACACTTCTCAGACATCAGAAAGTCCACACTGGATAAGGCCCTTATGAATGCAGTGGATGTGGGAAAGCCTTCAGTCGCCAACATATTGTGGCTGGACAACAGGCAGTACACACTGGAGAAGGACTGAGTGTCATGAATGTGGGTAATTATGTAGGTACAGTTCTCCAATCGCTATGTATCAGATAATTCACACTGCAGAAATGTGTGTTCAGCAAACTTGGGACATTATTTTGGTTTGACTCTCATTAGACATAGGAGAGTTTACACTGAAGAAGAGTCTTTTCAATAAAGTAGAAAGTGGTAAAGATTCAACATGGAAGATTGTACTTACTGGGCTTCAGAATATCCACACTAGTGAAAGTCTTCTGAGTACAGCAAATGTGTGACATTATTTTGCTACTACTTCGCACTACTTAGACACCGGTAGTTCACACTGGAGAAGGGCCACATATATGCCTTGAATGTAGCCAAGATAATGAACAACACCCAGAAATCTCTGATTTAGCAATGAGAACTAGTATCATATGTTTTTTTAAAAAACAATGGTAAAGTACGTGCCACATCAAGTTTGCCATCTTAACTGTTGTCCTGTTTAATACTTGAAGTACATTCACATTGTTGTGCAAATAATATCCTGAACTCTTTATCTTGTAAAATGAAACTCTATAACCATTAAATAACAACTCATTCCCACATTTCTTCAGTCCTTGGCGACCACCATGCTAAAGTTATTATGAATCTGACTATTCTTGGTACTTTACAGAAGAGGAATCTTAGAGTGTTTTTCATTATTTTTTTTTTCACTTAGGATAATATCCCCAAATTTCAGCCATGTTTTAGCATGTGTCAGAAATTTTAAGGCTGAGCAATATTTCATTGTTGGCATTTGCCACATTTCCTTTATTTATGACATCTATTCATGGACACTTGGGTTACTTCTACCTCTGGCTATTGTGAATGTTGTCCCTACAAGCATAAGGGCACAAATATCTCTTCGAGTCCCTGCTTTCAGTTCTTATTGGGTATACCCAAAAAAGTGGAACCGCTGGATCCTGTGGTAATTCTAACTTGAATTCTCTGATGAACTGAGAAACTTCTCCATAAAACTTGTACCGTTTTACATTCCTAGCATTTCACAAAAGTTGTGATTTGTCCTCATTCTAATCCATAGAAGGCAACATTTCTAACAAGTTTCTAGGTGATTTTGTTGTTGCTGATGCAGGGACTACATTTTGAGAACTGCCCTATCCCATTTCTAGTACAATGCAGATATTCTGTAAATACCCCTTGTTTCTGTGTTCTATCCTGTGAACCTTTTCATTTTGTTAATTTTTCCCAATGTTTACAACCAGGAAATAGCTTGTCATCTTTGATATAAAATAGAAATATTTGCAAAATACCAATTGCATTCTGTAGCCCTTGGATCCGTTTCTACCCCAATCTATGTAGATATTTAGTGGCATATAATCTTGTGTGAGAATACCTCATGGTAAGAATACACTTTAAAGGATCTTAAGTAAGGTCCCAAAATAACAGCAGTTTCCCTGTGGACCTGCCCTCCACCCAGGCCATCCAGTCCCAACGACTGTGCTCTCACTGCTGCTTTCCAGGTGTGTACCTGTCATGGGGTGTGCATGCCGCTGACCATTCCTCTTAATGGGTTCTAGGCAACAGATAGAATAGCTTAGATGCCAAAGCCATAGAACCTGCCAGGGGTTGTGTCATTTTGAAAATTATGCAAAATTCTAAATGATCTTACATGGCAGCAGTCCCCAACGTTTTTGGCACCAGGAACTGGTTTCATGGGAGGCCATTTTTCCGTGGATGGTTTTGGAATGAAACTCTTCCACCTAAGATCATCAGGCATTAGTTAGATTCACATAAGGCCCACACCTAGGTCCCTCGCATGCACAGTTCAGAATAGGGTGTGCGCTCCTATGTCTAATGCCACCGCTGATCAGGAGGTGGAGATGAGCAGGAATGCTCGCTCCTGCTGTGCGGAGGCCTAGTTCCTGACAGGCCACGGACTGGTACAGTCTGTGGCTTGGGGGTTGAGGATCCTTGTTAAATGGGATTTGGGGAATTTTATTTGGGTTCTCTCTTTGACTATTCTATTGTCAAAGTTATTGCATCTAATTTTTCTAGAGTAAGCCAGGTTCTGTGTCACGTCATAGAGCCACATAAACAGCAAGGGGCGCTATTGTGAACTGTGCCTGCGAGGGATCTCCGTGTGCTCCTTATGTGAATCTGAGCTAAAATCAGAAAAAAATAAAAAATAAAAATTGAGCCTGTGAGGTTAGAAGCAAGACAGTCATGTTAGATTTCTGTCATTATTCATAGTTCTGCAAAGGTGGTTTCAGGTTCTGCATCAACCCAAATGTGCTCTTCCATCCAGCAGCATTTACAACCAAAGATGCAGCCAGGCGCGGTGGCTCAGGCCTGTAATCCCAGCACTTTGGGAGGCCGAGGCAGGCAGATCACGAGGTCAGGAGATCGAGACCATCCTGGCTAACACAGTGAAACCCCGTCTCTACTAAAAATACAAAAATTAGCCCGGCGCGGTGGCGGGCGCCTGTAGTCCCAGCTACTCGGGAGCCTGAGGCAGGAGAATGGCCTGAACCCAGGAGGCGGAGCTTGCAGTGAGCCGAAATGGCGCCACTGTACTCCAGCCTGGGCGACAGAGCAAGACTCCATCTCAAAAATAAAATTAAATAAATAAATAAAACCAAAGATGCTGTCCCTTAATTAGTTACTCTCACAATCCATTTTCGTACTGGTTCCTCAGGAAACTATTTCAATCTATAAAAGTGAAACAGTTTCTTCACATTATACTCTCTGGTTTGAATAGTTACTTGGTTTTGCTCTTCCCCACATTGACTACCTTCTTGGTAGCCATAGGTCTCAGAGGCATTTTCTGTTGTCCCTAAATGATTCTGCCCTTGGTGGGGGTGGCTTTTAGGCTGGCTGGTGGCTTTCATTCAGATGGACAGAAATCTAAGCTTGATCTAGCATCAAGTCTGGACCCAGCACTCTCTATTATTATTTTTTTTTAGCTATTATAGATAACAAAGGATTGAATAATTTGCTTTTGGCTTATTAGCTCGCATTTTCTTATGCATCCAGTGAACCAGAGATTGAATATTTTGCTTTTTGCCTATTAGTTTGCATTTTCTTATGCATCCAGTGTGCCAACTCCCTGGCACAGCCAGCCACATGGCCACCAAGGAGTCAAAGGTTTTTCATCCTCCACCCATTTTTAAATAGAGAATTATTCAAAAGTTAAACAAAAAACTTTATTATCTCTTATTAATATATGAAAATTGTGTTCAAAATAGAAAGTGAACTTCTACTTTTCTTTTTTTGAGTGGTGTGATCTTGGCTCACTGCAACCTCCACCTCCCAGGTTCAAGTGATTCTCCTACCGCAGCCCCCATGTAGCTGGGATTACAGGCACACACCACCACGCCTTGCTAAGTTTTCTATAAGTAGAGATGGGGTTTCTCCATGTTGGCCAGGCTGGTCTCAAACTACTGGCCTCAAGTGATTCACCCACCTTGGCCTCCCAAAGTTCTGAAAATTATAGGCTTGAGCCACTATGCCCAGTCCGAGATCTATTTACTTTTGTCTACATTATTTTCCTTTCATTTTGAAATGACCTTTACATAACCCCTAAACCTGAAATAATCCCTTTGTGTTTTTTTGGCTTTTTTGGGTTTTTTTTGAGAGAAGTCTCACTCTTGTCTCCCAGGATTGAGTGCAAAGATGGCTTGATCTAGGCTCACTGTAACCTCTGCCTCAGGGTTCACACAATTCTCCTGCCTCTGCCTCCCAAGTAACTGGGATTAAGGCACCTACTACCACGCCCGACTAAGTTTTGTGGGTTTTTTTTTTGTTTTTTTTTTTGAGACGGAGTCTCACTCTGTCGCCCACGCTGGAGTGCAGTGGCATGATCTCAGCTCACTGCAAGCTCCACCTCCTGGGTTTACATCATTCTCCTGCCTCAGCCTCCCGAGTAGCTGGGACTACAGGTGCCGCCACCTCGCCCGGCTAGTTTTTTGTTTTTTTTAGTAGAGACGGGGTTTCACCGGGTTAGCCAGGATGGTCTCGATCTCCTGACCTCGTGATCCGCCCATCTCGGCCTCTCAAAGTGCTGGGATTACAGGCTTGAGCCACCGTGCCCGGCCGTTTTTTTGTTTGTTTGCTTTTTGTTTTGTTTTGTTTTGTTTTTAGGAGAGATGGGGGTTTCACCAAGTTGGCCAGGCTCGTCTCGAACTCCTGACCTCAGGTGATCTGCCTGCCTCTGCCTCCCAAAGTGCTGGGATTACAGGCGTGAGCCACTGCGCCCGGCCCAGAATTACTTTTTCTTTAGCAAAAACCACATCTTCATTTTTTAAATATAAGCTTCTTCACCAAAAACACATAGTAAACATCATGGCGCTGGGCTGCACAATACTTGGATAGAGCACGTTGATGTAAAGACATTTTTCTAAGTGTTTAGACCATGCCTTTTATATCTAAACATGCAAGAAATGAGTAGGTTCCTGTAAACAACTGCCACCAGCTGCCTCTGACACTGCAGCTCTTGCTTGTGACAGCCATCATGCACACCAAGGTCAAGTTCTTTCCCAGGACAAAGTAATCTCTGGTACCCCCAGAACCAATGATATCAGGTAATGCACTACAAAAGAAGGCAGAATTTTAGACCTGAGAGAAATCTGTCCTCTTAAAACTCTTGACAGAGAGATACTTCCTCATCTGGTTAGTGTAGATAATAAGTTGGCTTCCTGAGCTGGTCAGTGCAGGAGTGGGTTAGAGTTCTGTTTTATATTTGGCTTGGCCATTGTTGATTTCTATAGTCAATTTCTTACATGTAAACAAGGAAGATATCTATAATATTGAGATTTCTTGTTTTCTTAACTGGTCTTAGGTTGAAAACTGATTTAATTTTCATTCTCTTCCCCTCTCCCCGCACCATCCCATTCCTCTGCCTCTGCCAGATCTTCAGCTGGGTAGAGTTTTGGTTTTGTTTGTTTTTTAACCTGGAGGATGTCCCCAGATATCAAAACCTAAACTTCTGATTCTTAGAAGTCCTCCCTTCGATGAGTTGCTAGTTTTATTTCTGAACATGAACTTACCAAAACATCCCCCAGCAATCCCCTTGTTTCAGACATAGCTCTCTATGCTTCCCATTCCATGGCAGCAACTAAGTTTGACTCATCCAAAGCACAAAACCAATCCCTTTTTGCTTAAGTGACACAAGGATCCCCAGATGAACAAGTAGCTGTATCACCCTCCAATTAAATGGAAATAATATTTACTTCTGGTGGAACCTCTCCTTCCTTGGAACAAAGGGCCCCCAACCAGCAGAATTTACAGTTAAGAAGAAGTGGCCAGGCGCTGTGGCGCACGCCTCTAATCCCAGCACTTTGGGAGGCCGAGGCAGGCAGATCACAAGGTCAGGAGTTCAAGACCAGCCTGGCCAACATGGGGAAACCCTATCTCTACTAAAGATACAAAAAATTAGCTGGGCGTGGTGGTGCATGCCTGTAATCCCAGCTACTCAGGAGGCTGAGACAGGAGAATCGCTTTACCCCAGGAAGTGGAGGTTGGAGTGAGCTGAGATCACGCCATTGCACTCCAGCCTGGTCAACAGGACGAAAAAGAAAAATATATATATATATTTTAGCCGGGCGTGGTGGCAGGCATCTATAATCTCAGCTACTCAGGAGGCTGAGGCAGGAGAATCACTTGAAGCTGGGAGGCGGAGGTTGCAGTGAGCTGAGATCACGCCGTTGCACTCCAGCCTGGGTGACAGAGCAAGATTCCGTCTCAAAAAAAAAAAAAAAAGAAATAAAAAAAGAAGAAAGGTAGCAGAAATTCTGTGAATGAGTTATTAAGTTCAAAAATGAGGATGCTCAATATAATCCATAGGTTCAGAAAAAAATTACGATGAAAAGAATTGTCAAATTTTGTAACTGATACTTGACCTGGTTAAATTTGAATTATTTCTAATTCCCTGTGCAGTGAGATAAAAGATAAATATTGTATGTGACATATTCATCATAAAATTATTTGTTGTTTATCTGAAATACATTCTAAATTAGGAGTTCCCAACCCTGGGGCCACAGATGAGTACTATGGCCTGTTAGGAACGGGGCCATATAGCAGGAGGTGAGTGGCAGACGAGTGAGCATTGCTGCCTGATCTCCGCCTCCTGTCAGATCGGCCGCAGCATTAGATTCTCATAGGAGTGCAAACCCTATTGTGAACTGCCCATGAGAGGGATCTAGGTTGTATGCTCCTTATGAGAATCTAATGCCTCTGAAACCATCTGCTCCCACACCCCTCTCCCTTATCCGTGGAAAAATTGTCTTCCACAAAACCGGTCCCTGGTACCAA